TCGCAAATTTACCTATTCATTTCAAGCAAAGTGGGGAAAACAAACACTTGCTGGTTACTTTTCAGTATACCCTGTCCCTTATCAGCCAACAGTACTATATATACGCTTAATCCGTGCACTTCTGTCAAGATGTGTGTTTTTTTAAGATAAATAAATGCACTTTGTCTACACTGCAGCGCATTTATTTATGAGGAACTACATTTCCCATATATCCTACAAACGTAACGCGGCAGAATTCTCATCCAGTTGACTCTCAGAAGCTCAGAATATGTGACAGTGCACCGGCACCGTTATCCAGAACCAGACCGTCCATCCATCCATCCATTCTCCTCCGCTTATCCGGGGTCGGGTCGCGGGGGCAGCAGCCGGAGCAGGGAAACCCAGACTTCCCTCTCCCCGAACCAGACCGGAAATATACTATTTTTTCCTCAAAAGTAAAAGCATTTAAAGAAATATGATTTATTTTGAGTCATTATGATGAACAGTAAAAATGCCGGCCAACTTAAGGTAATTATCCATGCTAACAATCAAAGTAGATCAAATAGGAGGCTAGGTGTTACACGATGTGAAAAAAAAAAATATATAAATAAATAAAATCACTGCCACAACACCACAAGTCATTTTGTCACCCCAGTTGGTGATAAGCAGGATATGGAATAAGACAAAGGTGGGGGTGTTTATAAAGGTGGGGGTTGCTTAATAATGCTTATAAAAAGCCTATTGAAAAACTGCTACGTTGTGAATAAACGATCAATTCAATGTTTTACTTTTGAAAGATTATAGTGGAAGTTGCATTGCTGGATTTCCACATGTCCAGCTTGTCCCTGGTCTCGCCCACACCCTATCTGCGCTGTCTTCTACGGTGGGGCAGAACAAGCTTGCAGTTGAGTCTAGGCAGTACATTGTCTCGATTTGCAGATCGCTGTGCAGACATCACCATTCATTCTGCATTTGCGGCTTTTTTTTTTTTTTTTTTGTTGCCCTGATGCTGAACGCGTTGTCAGAGTGCTGTCAATGTGGAAACTAAGCATCAAATGTGTGGTGCAGACATCTGACTGATACCATGAGCAGCACTGGTAAGACCATTTATATTAAAAGATAACGTTGCTCGTTTTGTGCTTTTGGGGGTTTGGAAATGAATTGTTTCCAATCGTGTTCAAATCGTCTGTAAAAGACGATCCAAAACCAAGTGCAGCTCTCTATATAAAGGCTGCGTCATGTAAATCCATTATAAATGTAAATACAATATATCTGTACGATTGTTGTTTTGAAATTAATACACATGATTTTCTCATTAAAGTTGATCAAATGCATTAGAATCTATAGTTCACTTTACATTATAAATAGGGCCATAGGGCCAAGCTGCGAATTAAGTCATGTGGGCTAATCAGACAGGATGTCCACCCATTGTAGTTTTGATGTCCCTGTGGTCACTCCTGGCTGTTCATTTGTTTACAACGGCAATGAAACCTGGTGGACTGTTTCCATAGCTGGCTTTTTTGGGGGGTTTGATGATGAAACCAGATACTGAGCTTTATTAGCATGCCTGGCCCTGTAGCAGTAAGTGTGCAACACATTTAGCTTGATTAAAATACAGATTTGTAGTTACCAATAGTATTAAACTCAGAGCAATACTTCCCTAACATCTGCAAAAACAATAACAACAAAGGAATCAAAAGATCATTGAGTGTGGAAGCAAATTAAATGACAAATAGACTCATCTGTTTACTTTAAGGATTATGAATTATCGGTTACATTTTTAAAAAAAAGTCTTTGCAGGGTCCTGACAAGAAATATGCAAAAGGTGCATTTTTTAGAATATGATATATCTATGTAATATAATTTCATGTGATGATTTTCAATACATGCTAATAATTAGATTGACGTGATTTTTCAGGGACACACATTACACACTCCATTAATTTGTCTGTCTGATCTGAAATGAACATTCGGCTCAAAGTACCAGTAAATCTTCATTCTGAATTTCTGACATTGCAGGCACATTTCCTAATAATGACTGAATCAAACATAAATTAGTAAAACAATTAGCAAGTTTACGAAACAAGGTTTCACAATAAATTAAATAATTTCCCTCTGGGATTATTAAAGTATTTCTGATTCTGACAATAATGTGATCTAAGCAAAGGTCACTGAACTCCTGTGTGATGAGCCTTTTTTATGTGAAAACTTTGTAAACATAGACACACTGGCAGAACTCAGTAGCTACACTGCAGGGGACTTAGGTGGATAATTTTTCAATTAGATCTGAGATTGCTATTTGTGTACATCTGAAGTTTCAAGTGTCAACTTTGTTGCTTCTTGGTAATAAGCTCATCACATACCTTACGATAATGCATATACAGTATGTGCAGCCCTCTCAGATGTAAAAAAGCCATCAGCGATTTGATTTGATCTGAGACTTGGATAGTATTATTTTGTTACATTATGACATTCTATTTTGGCCGCTCTCCCTCAAAACTTGAGACCTTACCTCAAATGCAAATGCATGATAGTCTTAGACATTATGTTTTTTTCTCTCCACAGTTTAGTAATTGTGTCAGGTGTGGAGCAAAGGCTTCAATAATATGTTTTCCTCTGTAAAAAAAAACAGGGACAATTTGAACTTGTGCAGAGGGAGAGATGGTGATAATGGGAAACTGGTGCACTTTCACCTGTATGTTAATATAAAACTGAAATTTAACAGAAATTGAACAGATATTTGTTATGCTTAACATACTCAGACTCACTCTTGCAAAGAAAATAATTCTCAGACTAAAATGTCGGTAATGCATCACATCGGGATTCCATTTCACACAAATGTACACAGTGTACATACTTTTGTGTCACAAAAATAGAACACACTATGCGTGTGTGTGTGTTAAGGATAGTGTAAACCACTGAGCTTATCAAACATGACAGAACACCAACTTATCAGTTATTTTTAAAAGTTAGTCTTTAGCAGCTACTGAGAAACAGTCATTACGGTTGCTGATTTTATGTGTAAATTTGAAAACAGGCCTTCTCACATGAAACAAGTATGTTGATATAAACCAAGAAAACTACTAAGGTGTCTAAATGAGGGTGTTCCTTGACTCAACTAATTCCCAACTTTGCACTGAGAAAAAAAAAACTTGAAAATTAAAAAAATAAGATCAAGTTCTTTAAATATGTAGCTAAAATTACAAATGTCATAACATGTCAATGACATTTTAGATTGAGCATGGCCTAATGGGCATTTTGCTCATGTCTCTCTCTCCCTCACCTACACTCAGCCCTTTGTTATCAGCTAAGACTACTGAGTTATAGAGTTGGTTTATCCGGGGGTCAGGCTCTCCACGTGCATCTATTACTCTATGATTAAATGGCTGCTGTGGGGAACAGGAGTGGTAAAGCATTCTGGATAAGGGAGTTGTAATTTGAGAGTCTGAGCCTATGACAAAAAAGGGGCACACAGCCCTCATTTTTCATCTTATCTATTTAAGCAAGAGTCACAGATTGACAAAAAAAAAGCACAAACAGGAAACTATTTTATAGTAAACTAAACATTCATTGATCTCCATTTCCTGCCTTTTCAATGTTCCAAATGTAAAATTCTGACATCTTCTTTCTGAGAGTGTAAGTCAATTTATCAAGGGTCATATTAAGTTATTTAATCTGTGTTTATTCTTTCTCCCTATAATAGAGAACATTCATCTGGATGAATGCCAAATTATATAATTTAGGACAAAAAGGAACAGGGGAAGAAATTATTTGGGAGACTTATAGGTCCAGTTTGTAGTCAGGGTTTAGGTAAAACCAGGACTAAACTAATCTATTTCAACTTAATCCACCCTAATCCAATTGTTTAATTTCAGATTAACTAGTTCCACACTACAGAGTCTCTGACTAAAATAATGAAGGACCATTCAGATCATGTGTTGGAAACTGAATCAGATTAACAATGCGCACATGGTGCAAAGGTGAGGTTGCTCTGAAAACCAATAATAAAACAGCACCTTTTTGGTTGAAAACGTGATGCATTTCTGAGACATTGGAAATGATTCTCCCAGATACCAAACATGCACTCTACCAGCCCTCCGTTGTGGTTGTGGACTTGGTTGTAGCGCTGCTTCTCAAGTCTGATTGGATGCAGATAAGGAGTGTATCTGTGCATAACCATTGTCACCAAGTAGGTCTCCACTGTGTTCTCCAGCATCAAATTGAAAATCCTTGTGTCGTGTGTTAAACCGCTCCAAGGTGCAATCATTTTTGAGAACTGCATAGTGGAAGTAAAGACACCCTGTTTCTTTATTAATAAAACAATTTTTATGATTCCTTTACAGCTCAGCATGTTCTCTTGAGGGACACTTTATGGGGATATGACATCCGTCAATGCAGCTGATTATTCCAAGAAAGTTCCCATATTTATAGAACTGTAGCTTGTAGGTTGATGTAATCCTTTCTCAGTTGACAAATAGGGTTGCAGACTGTGTACTATTTTGAAGACAGCTGATTCACACCACACAAATCTTGCTGTTTCACAGTGGAAAGTTCCATATGCCAAAAATCTCAGTGATAATACTTGTAAAGAACGAGGTATAGGAGTTCCTCTTACTGAGTCATATGAAATCTTTGTCTCAAGCAAACTATTTTAATTGCAATATTTTTGTAGATACGAAAACGGTCACGGAAATCTGTCATCAAATTAATTCAGAGTTGGTCTTCCAGTATTACTGATGTAGTCAAGATAATCCATTTTGCCCATACATAAATAAGCATACAGTCTTTACTTCTTTCATCTACCTTCTTATAATTTCCTCTGCCCAGGTTTAATATAAATCTTCATTTAGACAGGGATTAAATCTATTCTTGCTTCAAGACAGAATATTATTTAACTCAAGAATAGGAAATGCCTGAGACTATTCTAATCCATAAATGTAAGAATGCTGCTTAAATAAGTAATGGATTAAAACTTAATCTAGAACTAGGGCTATAATGTACTGGAAATTTAACCATGGTCCTGGAGGGTACAGGGGAGTTTGCCTAATCAGTTGACATATGTTTTGTGGACTAGGAGAAGGCTTTGGACCGTGTACCTCGGGGAATTCTGTAGGGGTGCTCTGGGAGTAT